GTATTATTGTTTATGAAGATGTATTATTGTTTATGAAGATGTATTGACTAGTAAAAAAAATAATATTAGAAGACAATAAACATAAATGCGGTATTTATAGATGGGTGAATAAAATAAATGGTAAAAGTTATGTTGGAAGTTCCGTTAATTTAAGTTCACGTTTGTCAAGTTATTTATCTATAAATTACCTAACTAAAAGAGCATATATATATAATAGTAAAATATATAATGCCTTGTTGGCTTATGGATATAATTACTTTCGTCTTGAGATATTAGAGTATTGTGCTAGATCTAATGTTATTAAAGTAGAACAAGATTGTATAGATAGATGTAAACCTGAATATAACATATTAACTAAAGCAGGATCTAGTTTAAATTTCAAGCATTATAAACAAACATTAGACAAATTCAAATCCCGTATATTAAGTGCTGAAGATTTATCTAACTTAAAAAAAGCAAAAATTGCTGCAACTTTATCTCCTTTAGCTAAAGCTAATCAGTTATTAGCTACATCTCATACTATTACTATTTACCTGCGGTAAATTCCCTCAGGGAATTAGAGACATCGAAACTAATATTACAAAAGAATACAGTTCCATTCGTTCTGATGCTAGAGAATTACAGATAAGCCATTCTCCTTTATTAAATTACATAGATAAAAACAAACTATATAAAGATAAATATATAGTTGAGAGAAAGAAAATATAATAGTTCAATTGGTACAACATGAATTTCATGCATTAATAGTGGGAATTAAATTTTCTCTCCTGGCTATAGGAACTATCTTTACATACTTTAAAGGTAATTAACGATTTACAGCTTAGTAAACTACGGATTAAAGTATAGGTATTCCTTAAATTTTCTCATGTTATTGTTAAACTTGTGATACAAATGTAAATCTTACAGCTATTATTATTAGTGTTGTTAAGATAATGATAGGAAAGTCCGGTGATTAACAGATAGCTTTTTTAGTGAGGCACAAGCTTGGGTAATACACAGAAATTTTAACAATAAAAACTTTAGTGTTTTATTAGAATTATGAAATAAAAAGCCTTAATTAATCTTTATTTTAGTTAAATATTACACACAGGATCCGGCTTACTTGTATCCAAGTAATTTGTATAACATTACATTTAAAAAAAAAAA